AAACAAATATTTTTTATATAAAATTTTTAATAATTTTTAAATTGTTAAAATTTTTCATTAAATAAAAAACCTCAAGGTACTGTGCAAGTCGATGAAAAAGTTAAAAAGTATATATTTCCAAGATGCACAACAAATGTCACTCAATTACAAATGAGTATAGACAGTTATCATCAAAATATGTCTCATCATTTTAAACAATAAAAAGTAATGTTGGAAAAGTTTTGCCCCGTTTCGCATGCTTTTAAAATTTTGGTGTATTTCACTCTAATATTAGATGACTTAATGATAACTCTTTAATTGAAAAGTGTTAAAACATAAAAGTTTTAATTTAATATCTAATTACAACTCTCTGTTCTCAAAATTTCCCTAAGTTTAAAAACACAAAAATTTAGTACATTTCAGTTTTGTCTATAATTCTATTTTTATTCTTTAAAATCATTCACCGTAATTTTGTTTATAACAAAATCTTTTACTTAACTACGTAAATTTGTTTGTGTGTATATAGATATATAAACCCGTGATCTTGTCACATGAATATTACAAAATAATATTGAAATTGATGCCAAACACTCGAACCTTCGATGTACCAAAAAAAAACACTCGAACCTTCGTGGTTGAGGAACTAATTTGAATAAAAAAAAATTTTAATTACCTTCAGAATAAGAAAATTGCAAGCAGATCAAAGTTCACTTCTTCTACATGATGGGCAAACGTTCTTGAATCAGGGATGCTAATTGGTTCTAGAGGGCAAAGAGTCCCTCTCCATTTCCATCCTCGTAAATGATAGGAACAAGAACATCTGCAAAATTTTTTAACAGAAAACAGATTTTGCCTTCTACTTTTAATTTTTGTGGGGAATAGAGATCCCGTGCCCACCAATTAATATAAAAAAATAATTTTTTATATATAATTAATTAATATTTAATTATAATAAATAAATTTTAAAAATTTAAGTATAATTAATTAAAATTTTTTAAATTTAAATTTAAATATAAATTATTCAAATATAAATAAAGATCAATCTAATATAAATAATTAAAAAATTAATAATGAATTAAATAAAATTAAGTTAAATTTAAATTTAAATTTTATTAAATTAAATTTAAATTTAAAAATTAAATTAAATTTAAAATAAAATTAATTCACATATTTTTTTAATTCTTCATTGAAATGAGAATTCCCACCGGACCGCACGAAACGAAAACAATTTCCCACAAAAATTTATAAGAAGAAGATACCTCCCGTTCTCACCTTATCCTTACGACAGAAATTCCCACGGAACTCACAAAAATCGAGACAGATTGCCATCCGTATCTTGAATCTTACATGGTATATATCCTAAACTTGCCTACTGGTTGGAGTGGTTGAGATTATACAAGAAGAAAAAGGAGAATTTGGTAAATTGATGTCCTATACAGAGAGAAAATAGGGCATGGAAATTTATAAAGAAATTTGGCGAAAAGCAAAAGGCGTCAACTCCAGAGCAAACGAGCGTCCCA